CCTGTTTACTTGACTAGCTGATATGTTTTTTTTATTATTATTGTTACTTTTAAGCCTTCCTCTCCTCCTCCCCCTCTCCCACACCCCGCGCCAAAAGGCTACCGCCCCAATACTGACACTTTGTGACCGACGGGATAACATATCTACAAGGATGAAACTAAAACCAATTGAGTAACTAGGAGCGTGTTCTGGGAATGACATAATATGATAAAAATATTCGATCCACTTGTTTATATGAATGTATGCACTGTTATCATAACCTTAAGTACGACTAAATTTTTTCTTAATATTTTAAGTGCCTCTAGTGGCCTAATTCACGATCAGCCACTGAACGTAGGTAATATTTTTATGTGCTGTGACTAACGAAAGGGCGGTCCAGTGGATTCCGAAGTCGTTAAACAGCCAACGGACTGGAAGGTAAATACGGTGTTGCATCCCATAAGTTGGCACTAAAGTTACTTGAAGTGTAATTATACGGGTTGGTTACTTTTGGAGTTGTCATAGCAACGCGAAGTATCAATATGGTCGACGTCTAGTGGCAAATACGGGAATCGACTATCCCTCTGTTTGTTGATGCGAAAGATTTTCGACGGTCCATTCGGTGACCTGGCCGCGTTCCATAAACCGAAGGCGCCTGCTTTATAGGCAGTCGCGCGATGCACGTTCCTCGCACTTTTCATTTTTGTCTACGATATATATCGATTTGTAATAAATTCCAAACAAATTTGACTACAGCACTTATCGACACTTGATTCTTATTGGGAGGTCCTCGGTTTCATTCTTGACCCAGTTCCCCGGTTATCATGAATTATATTATGGTTTTCCTCAGTCCCTCGACGAATACTATGGTATAGTAACTTTAAATAATAAGGGTTGTATTCATTTTACGTTTTTGTAAATTCTTTGTTGTGAATCGTCTTTGTATTTGGCAGCAAACGAGAAGTCGTCGTTAAATGAAAGGAATGGTGAACTCACCAGTGGCATTGTATAAGGAGCTACTCTTTGACTGCATATGATTTATGTCTGAGGCCTTGGTGTATGGAATGCGTTTTAAATCGAGTGAACATTATCTTATAGGGCAGCGATTGTAGGGTGGACAACGCTTTCGATGGCGCGCACTTAATGAGTACTGTTATTTTAGAAGGTATTTATTGTACATAACGTAAACTGTGCAGTTAAACAAAGTCAAATAAAGAATCGATCTCTTATGTCAATTTTTCCCCCTCGTCAATAACTTTTGTCGCCAGAAAGGTTTAACAGACAGCAAAGTTTGGAAAAGTGTGAGGTATGACAGGGCTTCCTATTTCTTAAATTCAAAACTAGCAACATGACAACAGCGCAAAAGTTCTGAGTTTTCCCGTGATACACTGGAAATCGGTACTGGGAGAAGTTTTGTGAAAAAGTAGAGTAACTTTGAACTTTTTATTGGGAAGTTTCACGTGCCTAACACGGCATTTTGAAGGGTAGGAGTCAAGAGTTTCCATAGCAACATCTTTTTCTTAAACATCGCTGTGAAATTTTATTCTCTTCCAGGGTTTAAATATTCTTTTTATAATTTGTTAACTCTTTGACAAGTTCAGATACTATTACATGCAAAATGTGGGACAAGCGATTTGGATCTTAAGTTTCAAAGACCGATAAACGTATTTCTATATTAGAATTTAAAAAAAAAATCTACACAGCTGAAATTCCTGTATGGGCACCATCCAAACCCTGTTCTATCCACGTTTCTCTTTAGATATCCGTCTTCCTACGGCACATTTTAATATTATCTTGCCTTATCATTATCTTAACAATAACCGCTTCCATAGAAGTTTCTCCATCAAAATTCTACAAGTACATCGTCTTTCACATACTCGAGCTAAGTTGTCAGATATCTGTGGCCATTGTTTAATTACGTAAGATTTTGTAAAATAGAGTTGGTCGTCCCAAAATACCTTTAATTGTTCACTAGCCATATTTTCCTGGGCCCCCTGTTTTAGGACCCATTTTATAAATATTCAAATCAAACGGCTGGCTTCAGTATTACAAACTATTAGACGCATTTTATAAATATTCAAATCAAAATAGCACGGCTGGCTTCAGTATTACAAACTATTCAGTGCTATGAAATTAATCTTAAAGGATGTTGGCATTACTGAAAAGTATGGCGGTTGTAAACAAAATTGGCTTTCTTCATTTTCGGAGTTACTGAATGTTAAAGCAGGTGGTATATACATTTACCACTGTGCTTTAGGTAATTAAGAATTTCTCTAAAACTTTTAAATTATCATGGATTGAACATGGCTGTGGGTCCTTTCATCAAAGTTGTTTGGAATCTGACAGAGGAATAACGTTGTTTGACCATTGCGTTATATTTTCTCTAAAGTAACTACAAAATCACTTTTACATTTTTTAACTCATCTTTGTATTTCGAAGTACACAAAAAGATAACATAGTCTGGACTAAATAATAGCCCAAGTGCCAGTTCCTGTATTTAATATGGTCCAATATTTCTTCGTCAGACCCCTGGTCCATACTGTCTTTGTTTCTATCAATTGCACTTGGTCTCATCTGCATCTCTGAAAATATGACGCGTTGTCTCGATGTTGATTTTCTTTGTTGTGATGTCGCATGGTCGTTGCCATGGTTGCAAGGGAAGTGTCGCCTCCATCTTCAGATAAAACATATTAGTGCGCTGTTTCCTTGGTCTGCGGAACGTAGTTTTTGTCACTGCGTGTCATTTTGACGTCAGACTTCCGTCCGTCCGTCCGTAGCACGAAGCAATTTCGTCGTCCATTACGGACACGTGTGTCCCCCTTTCACTGGAACATCTGTCCAGGGGGTCGCTGGGACAGCGCACACTTTCCCGCTCCATGTTGCTTTCTGTCAGAAACCCCCCCCCCCCCCAGCAGAAGGGCTGTGCTGTTAATTACCCTTTGGCGAGGATGTGTGTGCTTGGGGGTGAGGGTGGACTGAAAAATGGGAGGAGAATTGTTGGCATATGGCCTTTGATTGAATGTCACTCCGTCTCCCTTGACCCTGATCTGTGTCGGTAAAAGGAGAGTAATTAAGGTCATATTGAGGGTTTATTTGGGAATGGAAGGAAACTTCGATACGCCACAGAAATTGTATGATCGTTATAGTAATATGACGTCAGTTTTGTTCTTAGTTTGAAACTTCCGTATATTTCCTTGCTAGATCGTTTTGCATAAGCGTCAAGGAATAGACAGAGAAAGGTCTAAATATTCTCCTCGACGCTCTGTTATCAAACACTTGAATCTGTGTGGGTGTTTTTTCCTGTTAGAGTAAAAGATTAAGTTTTGCAGCTGAATTACAAACATAAACACATCGTTTAACAATGACAATATCTACTATAAAAATTCGTGATTTGTCGTCTATCAAAAAATGACGTCATCAAACAATGTTACGTTATATTTGTTTACCCCCAATTGGGGGGTTGGTTTAGTTTCTTACTCAAGATTTTAAAACGAAACCAACCCCCCTGAATGGGGGGGGGTTGGTCAAGTGTTTTGACCCCCCAATCGGGGGGTTGGTTTAGTTTCTTACCCAAGATTTTAAAACGCAACCAACCCCCCCGAGGAGTACCGAAAGGAGCGCTCTGCTCTAGTTTACGAAAAGTATTGACTAGGAATGGTTTAAAGTCACAAATAACGTATTTTGGGACTTTTTACATTGTTGTTCTAGAACCAGGTGTTGATTCATAAATGTTTTTCATTGTTGTCATTCTGATTGTTTCTATTAATAGCCAACCACTATAATTATTTCTAAAAAAACAGGATTTTCAAGGCTACACGATGTACTTTTTTCTCTCTTGACTGCTTTTTTTTAAAATAGCTTCTTTTTGATCACCGAGGCGTGTCATTGTAAGGTATTAGCTACACATTTTATATTTTAAGCAGCTTTTTTTGTTCCTGTGTGATGGAAATTTTCTGGCCCGACATGGCAGTCGGAAATGAGACTTTGATTAAAGGTTGCTTAAAAAATGCAAACAGTAGCGACCCGATCGAACTACGTCAGAGGATGTGATACACTCTGCTTTCGTCTGTAACAATGAAGATGACGTAGTGATTTACAGACTGCTTTGGTCAGCGACTGTCCGCTCGCCTTTAGTATAATGATATTAATCCACCGTTCCCTTCTAAGTCGTAAACTTCACAATGTGCGTCATGAATTTCTGTTACCCCTGCTATGACCAAACCTGGTTAACGTAGATGCATGGCCTTCCTGAATATAGGATTCCCGTGAGATAGATGCAGACGTAGAATCATCACTCATTATTACAGAGAATTTAATAAGTAACAGTGCTATACGTTTGTCTGGTATAGTACTTCCATGTACTGTCATTTAAGCCACGCGTGACGTCACGTTGAAGTAATTATGACCGGAAGATAACATTTATCTTGTTCACAGAACAATCGATAATTTCAGCTCGTAAATCGACTCAATTTTTCATCCAGACTGGGCAAGAAAATTGTGTAACTTCTCGAATCGCAATATTTATACTTAAATTCGATTACCGTGTGTCCTCCATTTTAAGACGAATATTTTTACATTTTAAATGTTTTTTTTAAGTCCTGGCGCATCTCGCATTTGACGGCGTCTAAGAATCGGTATAGCTTATTTTTTTCATGAAAATCTATTATTAAATCTTACAATCGACAGAATCTTAAAATTGGGGAAATATGATAATTCATTTGAGCGTTTGCCAACTAATAAAAATTTATGACACTACAAAAATATGCTCTCTAATAACAATAAGAATAACTAAAAGGTAATAAATTAAAGCAGCCACTCATGGAGCCAGTTCTGAAGGTCCTGCCTTCGAAACTTGGCTTAGATTTTACGTATATTTTTACTTATATTCTTTCTTGGTGTTCTGAGTTCTCGTTGACAGACGTCAAGACGATATGAAAAATGATTCGTCACCGCTCGATCCTAAATCTGTCATTTATAATAGTTTCATCAACGTTAAATGAGGTGTATTTACGCTGTTTCAGGTTACGGCAGTGTGGCACCGCGAACTCCCTGGGGAAAGGTCATCACCATCATTTACGCGCTAATCGGCATCCCACTGATGCTGGTGTATTTGTCCACCGTCGGCGACGTCCTAGCACGCAATTTCCGTCGTCTCTACTGCCGTGTGTGTGGTAATGGAGGCGACGCGGGCGGATGTAACGGTCGCAGTAACTCCAAGAACACTTCCGGCAAGAACAGTATGCCTGCAAGAGGTTCTTCCACGGCCGAGACTTATCTGAGCACCGGTTATACCCCGTCTTTGGCAACTAAGGCTCACAACAGCATCACTGCAGACGGCTCGGCCCTCAAGATGCACCATTATCACCCCCACGCGACGCCAGGCGCCGACCGCGGAGACGACATCCAGGCAAAATTGGATCGTACTGGCAGCGTCGTGGTCCTAGACTGCGGGGGGGAAGGTATCGGTGAATCAGCCGCGTCGTCTTCCACGGCCCTGGACCCTGGACGTAAGAGACGCCGAACGTGCGGCGCGGAACACGTCAGGATACCAATTTCTCTCTGTCTGCTTATAATCGTCGTGTACATCTGCGGTGGGGCGTTGCTTTTCAATAGACTCGAGAACTGGACTTTCCTCGAAGGCTCTTACTTCTGTTTTACGAGTTTGGGGACTATAGGATTCGGAGATTTGATACCGGGTTTGTATCACAGTTATCAGGTGCAGTACCAGACTTCAGCATCGCATTCATCGGCTGAGCAGTTGTCAGTGTTCGCTTCATCCGCGTACATCCTTGTCGGCATGGCACTCATAGCGATGTGCTTCAACCTCGTCCAGGACGAAGTGGTGATTATCGTAAGGAAGCTAGGGCATTATTTTGGTGTCGCGAGTCCCAGTACGTTCGTGTCCTCCAGCTCGAGAGGTGGAGACCTTGACGACGAGGATGTCATGATAGACGTAGTCGATGGTGAAGAGATAGCGATGGCTGTAGTGTCGTCATCCGGTGCCTCATCCTGACATAGGCCGGGTGACACGGTCCCACGAGGTGGTAGTGTTGGTGATCATGACACAGGAGTTACCAACATTCAGCAGTCTCAGAAGATCTTGAAGCCAGCGTTGATAGAGTACCCTCAGCATCATCATAGTCTGCCGAGAAGGAAAGATGGTATTGCGGCTTCATCTGCTGCAGGTTGTCCTCGGAGGAATGGTCAAAGAAGTCAGATTAGCCGTCGTAGTGGGGCAAGTTCCGACTCTGGTGAGCCTCTGGTCGAATATTTTGTGCCGCGTAGTGTCAGCGAATTTAACCTGGCCGGTGTCGTAAGCGATATCGTGATGGTTCCTCCACCTCCGTCCTCCGTCATCCGACCTTCTTCAGCAGCGTCAGTGCTAAGGACTTCTTCTAGTGGCAGGGATTCTGTCGCAGGTGGCTCCAGATCTAGGGAGAAGATGGTGACGTTCGAGGATGACCCGGTAAACCAAAGCGACGCGCAGGGTATAAACAGGAAACAATCCGTCGGGGTAGGTCAGGCTCTTGAGGACGTATTCATGTGACGAACTCCAGGAAACGTTCAGCACGACTACGGATTCTCTTCAGTCACTCCAATGGCAAACCTACGAGATGATAAACCAGGGTTTGATTCCAGACGCTGGCAACAGATGTCTCTCTGTACAGCCGCATCTAGACCAGGATCCGGTGGTGAAGCGGTCGGAGCGTGATGCTGATCACTCACTGTAATTTACTGCCGAGATTAAGAATAAATGGAGGCATACCTCCATTGCCAATAACCCTACATCTCATGTCGTGACACGTAATTAGTAAGAGGGACAATTTTACATTTATGAAGCCCCTTTCTCGTGCTGTACATTAGAAACACTTCGTTGTTAATTAAGTCTGTTTAATTAGTTGTCATTCATTAGGCCTAAGAACGTTTCTGGCTACTACTCATAAGGAAATAGTCGAGAAACTATCGGCGTGACAAGATTATCAATTAATATGCAGCCTAATTATATTGATTAAAATAATAGGCCTAAATGGTACAGTATGTGAGCCGAAACTTTAAAATTGCTGCATCCGTTTTACTTGTAACCGAAGACGAGTTTATATGCCACGCAATTTTTTTTAAGATAAATATGAATTTGGACGTTTTACAAGCAGACGTGGCTATGAACAAGAAATTTTGACGGGGAACGCCCATACGGAAGGACAAAAATCTATGCTCACTTCTGTTTCTGAAAGCTGGTAACATCTTCTAAACGAAAGGAAACATTTTGAAGACGTCTTTGACAAAGCTGGTTAATGTGTTAATATCCCCTGTAATTCAAATTTCAACCAAACGTCACAGCCGAGTAGTTAGTACTCCTTTTTCGGGAGCTCCCGCTACCCTGATTGACATTTTCCTTGGTATTCCTCAGTCCCTCAAATTAAATGCTGGGATAGTATCTTAAAATATTCCACAACCGCTTCCTTCCATATCCATTCCATTTCATTAATTACTCTGCAATTTGATGCTGTATAGCGTCTGATCTGCTGACAGCATCGTTAAATAAACCGTAATACATACATTCACAATTCATTTGTCGTTCTTTATTATGAGCATTTTGATAATTTGAATATTTAGCAGAAAAAAATACGTGATTTTTAATGATAACCGTTAAAAGACATTTCTTCTGAACATCAAACGAGTTCGAATACCACCGATAAAATATTAAATAAAATATTATTTCCATCACACACCATCTATAAAGGATTATTTCCTAACTATATTCTAAATAGCCTAATTCTTATATAATTCTGTTTCTGCTTTGGGTAGAATTTAAATGCTGTTTTACTGTTGTTAATCGCTGAAGTCAAATTTCATTAAAAACCGACAAAATTAATCATGAGATGGTAAAGTTGCGTCATATTGTGATATAATAAATATATATTTTAAATCTTGTCCGTCTAATCACAATAAATTCTTATTAAATATTAAAATATTACAATAATTAACATTTTAAAATATTTAATATTTAAAATATCAAATGATGTTCTTTATCGAAATATTCGATTTACATTAGACCATCAAAATTAATCATATATGTGAACAGGGAGTGTGCGTAGTAGTTTCATGACGCATAAAAAAAAGTTCATTTCCCTGTTTATAATGTTATATGATTTCCAAGTCGGCAAATTTTTTGAAAACTTTTAAAAAGTTTATTCTTTGAAACTAAAATTTATATCCCCATTGCAGTTACTGGACATTCGATTTTTGGTACATTGAAGTCAATCTTGTAGGATCAGGTGGGTCCGCGGTGTGAAAGCGTCTCATCTCCGTTCTGAATGCGAAAAATGTTAACTTGTGGCAAATAGCCCCAGAAACACCCAATCACTTTCCTTATCCTTTCCTACGGCCTAGGTGAACGGAGGTCGCTGGAGTAATATGAACGCACTGTTACCAATGTTTTGCGATAAATTTTCCTAACACCTGGCAAACGGAACTTATTTTTGAAATGCACCTCAAATGTTAAAATAAGATGTTAAAGGTTAGTTACGACACCAACATTTGTCAGCATTGGAGTGTGCAATATTGTATTTATTTACAGATATTTTAATAAAAAGGGTTTGTATCTATATATTATTAAGACCTACAGTGAGACTAGCCATTATTTTATGTCTGCATCAAATTATGATAATACAGTCATGCGAAATGTCAATATAAGTAAATATTTAGTTAATAGTTCTGTGATGAAAAATGGTGGTATTCTTTGGTATGATTTGTTTTACAAATAATGTATTGGTAATAAGTGCTATTTTATCACGCGAGTGAGAGCAGTAACTTTTATTTTAAAAAAACAATTCTGTTAATGTTGTTCATTGGATTTTCTATGAAAGAATATTATTTGTATTTATCTTTATATCAGTGTTGTCCATATCCAAAGAAAACTAACTTAGAGAGTAATGAAGTTATATGATGAGAGTTCTAATGCCAGTTGAAAAGTGTCATTCAGTTGACTGAGGGAGAACAACAGAGCAAATTCTTGAGGTATCTTGAACTTTGTAGTGTTATAAACAGCCTACCCACACTAAAGAACACGAAATTATTTTTCGACATTTCACGTTGTTGTACCTTTAAGGTAAACTGGAATCCAGAAATGTGTAAAATGATTTTATTTGATTAAAAATTGAAGATATAAATTATTCATATCGTTCATGTGAAAGTATTTTAAGATATTATTTAAACTGTTAAAATTTCAGGCTGTCAGTACTTCTATGAGAATGGCTAGTTCTATTTTTAACACTTCGTTTAGCAGACTAGTAATTGGGTCTTTTTGAATAGGGTTGGCATTGATTGTAGGAATATTTCGTGTTGTGATGTGGTGTGGCTGCCATGCGTGTGAGATCGAAAAATGTATATGGCTCAATTGTTTGGAAATTATTATATCTCAGTGCATATTGTTTTTAAGTGCTGTTGTGTTTGTTATATTTTAGTTTTTAGCAAGATGCCTAAGTTCAATAATTGAGTTTGAAGAACGGAAAGATTTTAAGAGAAAGAAAACTAGGTTGTGTGATTCAGATTTTGAAGTGAGGTTAGAAGTGCAAACTTCCAGGCTGGACGAAAATAATTACAGTTCTACGTGTAAAAAACTACAACACAATGAAAGTAAGTGCTATAGATTATGATGAATAGATTGTTGATACATTATTCTGAGAATGGAATAATGAATATTTCATTATCAAATGTGCTTCAGAGTAGTGTGCTATGTTAAAGAATGGGTGTTATGATGTTGTTCTTATGGGTTTTGACGCCATATAGACTGGCCGGTAGATGCTGCCTTTTCGGAGGACCATACTGTATCCATCTTCAGGGTTGAATTTGTGATGCTGGAGCTGGATTGACCAGTGTACACATTGCCAAAATCAAGAACTACATCATAATGATCCTCATTGCTGTGAAAACCTCATGTCTGAAAAAAATGGTTGTTATAGATGAAAATAAAGCAACACTTTGAACTGGCAGTAGCAATGTAAATTTTCTGTGTATTGTGCATTATCTCTAATTCAAGTTCAGTACAAATACAAGTGATCTACATGCAGTAGGTGAAGTTTCTGTTGGCAGTACAATATTAGAGAGAAACATGGGAGATACTGAGGAGGAGACTATAAAGAAAATAAAAACTGGCTTAACCGAACTGTGGCACTGGATGCTACCTGCTAAGAAATATGAGATACATCTCTGAATGGAATTATCACAGCCCTTAGTGGTGACACTGCTAAAGGTATACACATGGCTCAATTTTATGCACCCATATAAATTGAAAGGTTAACACAGAACGTTCTGATACAAACCGCAGTGGAGTAAGCATTAGTGTCGAGGTTTCTGGTGTGAATGAAATTTTTCAGTGTTCTGTCCAGTGGTGTAATGTGAGGTATATTGGCTTCCTAGATGAAGGCTATTCAAACGCCTTCAGTGGTGTGGAACAATTTATATCATATTTTAACGATAGGGAAATTGAATGTGTATGCCATTTTTAGAAGCCAACGGGCATTTGTGGCTGTCAAATGAAACTTTCCACTAAGAGGGATTTGCCGAGTGATGGAAGATTCACAGAAGGAAAAAAACACAGTAAATGAAACAGTTGATAGAGTACCAGAAATTATGGTCCTGCTGTTGGATAAAATGCAAATACCACTGAAGGAATCAGGATATTTCTGTGGCCATTATTTCCCCATGCTGCCTACTTCACAACACATCTTTCCGCACGCTGTGATGGAAATGTTTATGCCAATTTTACAGAATTTGACCAATTGAAGTAAACTCCACAATCAGGCACAAGATCCAATTGAGAGCGAATCATTCGTTCCAAAAGATTGTGGTTATGTTCGCTCTGGTGTGTGTGTGCTGTAACATGACATGTTACAATGGTTGAACACAACGCAGCAAAGTGTTTGGAAGAAAAAGGAATTCTGAAAGGATGGAAAAGGAAGAGGAGAAGAAAGAAGTACAAGAGAGGAAGAAGTGGAAAAAAGATTGTAAGTACCTGACAATTGTTCATATGATGCTGGAATGTAATGAGACGTCTGATTTCTCATTGAAGATTGATTTCTGTACATTAATTCTTTCTGGAACTGAGAGGAACATTTTCCTAGCTTGTAATTGACAGAGAAACTAGGAAATTGTCTGAATTGTTTTTTTTACTGATAGACCACGCATTTTAACATGGTATTTTGAACATACCTTGGAGTTAAAGAATTTTGGGAGGTAAAATACAAGTGGAAATTTAATAAATATATTACAATATTCAAGAAAACTGTACCTGAAATTAAAATTATACAAATTCAGTTTCACCGTGTAATCGTAAAGATAAAAGATGTTACTAGATGCTGGGAATTGTCTGTAGCCAATAGAATCAGAGAAAATATTCCATACATTTAATTAATGAAACAGTTTAATGTTAGGGGATTACAGCAGATTGAATTAATTTTGTTTGCAGTATAAATTCATAAGAGGACAAAGAACTTAAAGGTTTGGTACATCCTGAGAAAGATAATGCACACACTTTTTGTGTTAACATATATTTTAATACAAATTAATAATAATTTCTGCCCTTTATTCTGATGGATCATCTGAGAGTATTTAGTTTTCTTTTTGATTCTTTGTTTCTTGTAAATAGTCTCACTTATGTCACAGAAGGTAGCTCGTGTGACATTTCATTTTGAGTTAGGCAGTCTTGTAAAATGCCACATTGTAACAAAGGAAAGTCAAGTTTCAGAAAGTGAAATAATTTGAAACAGAGACCATCAGTGTGAACAGTTATTATGAATTATTGCTTGCCAGCTCTGAAAATAACCTTTGTCCAAACCCCACGCATCATCGTGAATGTGAGACGGAACCAGCTTCCGAGTTTTAAATTTTTCTGAGCCTTCTAATTTTGGATTGTGGACAACAATGAATTTATTTATGTCTTATGTGTACACTGTACACTGTACAGCATTGTTTAAAATGGTTATCCATTTTGAATATCCACATTTCTTTTTGTGTATTGTGAAGTGTGTGACATGATTTACATTGTTATGCTTCTAATTTAAGCGCTTAGATGACTAAGAATACAGCTGATTGTGAAACCGATTGAAGTTGCTAATAGTGACGCAGTGAATGTAATTTAAGTTCAGTATCATTCCAGTAAACAACTATAAAAGACAAAGACCATGAAAAAGATGGTGAAATCACAGGACAAACTGATTTTATTAGAATATCTGATAAAATGGACTGGTGGAAAACTCAACAAGGCATGTCTTATAGCTGATAAAACATTAAAATTTTTGTTAAAATATATTGATGATGATGATGATGATAAAGATAATTGTTGCCATAATTTTGGTATATAATTATTGTACAAAAATATTTATATAATAATATGGGGTAAGAGGTTGGAAGAGGAAAAATTACCCCTTTCCATATATTTAGTTTAATTTCATGTTCATGTTACTTGTTTATCAACAGATATACATGAAATATGTATAAATTATTGATCAGGACTCAGTCAGTTTTATAATTTATGTATATATTTACATCATTTTCACGCTGTTCACTGTTTCTCCTACTCTTCATATCCGTTTAAGGACACAGAATTTACAATAAATTTCCAGCCAGATAATGAATTTTCACCATGCATTACTTGACAGCGTCAGTTTCATTGTATGAAAAATGTTATAAACTTCAATTCAATTACCTGGATTTATGGAAATGAAATCCACCTGCTCCAGGTTTGAACGCCTCGAACACGGCTCGTACAAATAATCCACGCAGATTAATATTTGGCAGCGTGTTCACTCTTTAATGAAATTATATTCATCTCTGTCTCTAAATATGTTGATTTTCCCATTTTAATTAGCAGCATATAGCATATTAGCAGC